GCCTACTATGATTTTTAGTTGCCTACCTGAAAATTAAGGTATCCACATTGCTATGATAGGTTGTCTACCTTGATGATACTTAGTTGCCAGCAATAACAATACCCCCTCTCTCTCAGTTTACAGGGCGTGCACGTACCCCTAGGTCGTCAATTTGACCAACCTAATACAAGTAATATATTACAAAAAATATACCAATATAAACTTCAGATGTTCTATTTTCAAAAGGTATATTTTTTGTGTTATATAGTTTATATTATGGTGATAAAATTAGCAACATAGGTATACGCGTAGGATTTGTAAACTGAAACGGAGGGAGTAAAAAATAACTCGATATTTTTTAGTCAGAACAACAATACAGTCTAAGGGCATTAGAGACTTTTCATTGCATATACCTAGATAAGTTGAAAATTAGGCACCAAAAAAAAACAGATTGGCTTATTATCTAGGGCTTATTTTCATAGGCCCGTATTTGGGGCTTACTTTTACATGAGCTTATTTTCACAGCATAGCTCAAAAGAGCTAGGCTTTGGCTACCTTTGAAACTTAGTTTCCGACTTCCGTACAATTTTAGGGTACTCATTAGACATGGTAGAGAATTTACGGGTAGACAGTTGTGGTAGCCAACTTACAATATCATTAGGTTAACTGACATCATGGAAAATGAACATGTAGAGAGTTGCTTCTCGTATCATTAATTTTGGTTCATGTGCCTCTAAATTGTTCCATATGAGGTCTAGTTTCGAGTAGCTATCTGTGAGGGGTCCAAAAGTGAAAACGGATCCAAATTACGACGTTCTACTTAAAAGTTGTAGCTTTTTGAAAAAAAAATCTAAACATGCTTTCTTCTTAGTTGGAGTGTGTAGGCACGAACTTTCTTTTTGTGGGTGTGTGTCTACAACCACTAGCCAACAAAGCGTGTAGGGCGCGCAGACAAGGTGAGTCGCCGTTTCCTTTTCAGTCGAAGTGAAAAAAATAAGCATTCTTTTGATGGATGTGTGCCTAGGACCACTCACCAGCAAATTACTAGCTAGACACGTTCATAGTATATTTATGAGGTAAATACACCACAAGTCACAGAACTTGCACACGACGGTCAGTTTAGTGTATAAACTTATAAAATACGTGTTTTTAGTCATCTAACTTGTCATCTTGTTTATATACGGTGCTTTCTATCGTATCCAGCTGTATCATTACGGGTGCCAACGTGATGGGGCGTACAGTCAGTGGCTGAGGTGGTGGTAATCCGCACGCACTGTTTTTTCTCAGATAGCACCCTTGCATTTTATTTATTTATATGCAGAAAATTCTCAAATAAAAGTAAAAAAATTGTTGCACACAGTGGGATTTGAACCCACAACCGACCATGATTCGCCCCGCATAGAAGCCACCAGACCAACTGCAACTTTGTGTTTAACGGAAAAAATTATCTTTATATAACTAGACCACGCGAATTAAAATAAAATCAAAACGGAGACAAGGTAATCCCCGCTTCGAGCTTGAGGGCGCAGTCCAAAAGAAACCTATATGCATTCATTTTGAAGTATATTTTCTTTTATGTACATAATTCACATTCAAACAAAAATTTCGTTCATTTGTCCTAAAAAACTATGTACATTCATTTTGACCTATATTTTCGTATATCTAGATTTTCAAATTTTAAATTATTCAAACTCAAAAAAATGATGTTGATTTGTCCAAAGAAATTTATGTACATTAATGCTGCACTATATTTTCTTTTATCTAGATTTTAAAATTAGAAATATTCTAATTGAAAAAAATAGTTGATTTGTCCCAAAAATTTACGTACATTCATTTTACACTATATTTCCTTTTATCTAGATTTTAAATATTTAATTATTTGAAATCAAACAAAAATTATTTGATTTTTTTTTGCGGGGATAAAGGGAGTTTCATTACGTATGAATAGAGTTACAGTCGAGGGGCCAAATGTCCTCGATACATGGTGGAGCCGAACCAAGCCACACAGCCGTAGCTCGTTCGGACCGGCTATATTTCGCCAGATGATCGGCAACTCTATTTTGAAGTCTACTAATCTTTTGTGGAAAAAACTCCCTACTACCAAGCAGATCTTTGATTTCGAGAACGATATGACCGTATCGCGAGTGAACCAACGCACCTTTAGTCAAGCTAGACAGCTGTTCATGAAGGTGCTTGCGATGCGTCTCGCACGGTGGATTGACGAACTTGTTGGCCCGGCCCAGTCTGCGTTCATCAAAGGCCGCTGCATCCAGGACAACTTCATGTTCGCCCGAGGGATGGCACACCACTTCCACCGTGTCAAGCGTGCCATGCTTTTCGTCAAGTTCGACATCGCCAAAGCTTTCGACAGCGTCTCCTGGCCATATCTGCTTGACATGCTCCGTGCTCGAGGTTTTGGTCCGAGATGGTGCGAGTGGATCTCCATGCTCCTTGCCACCTCCTCGTCGCGTGTTCTGATCAATGGGGTGCCTGGCCGCCCCATAATCCACTATTGCGGCTTGCGTCAGGGTGACCCTCAGTCGCCGTTCTTATTCATCCTCGCCATGGAGCCCCTCCAACGGCTTCTCGATGTTGCAGTGGACACAGGGGTCATCTCCAAGCTCCAGGGCCGGCTGCCGCAGCTGCGGGCTTCCCTCTACGCCGACGATGTTGCTCTCTTCCTCAACCCCGTGAAGACCGAGCTGGCAGCTCTCCGCTCCATTCTTACTGCTTTTGGCCTGGCTTCCGGGCTTAAGGTAAACTTCGAGAAAAGTGTCGTCCTCCCCATAAGGTGCGAGCAGTTGGACGTGCATGACGTGATCTCACCTCTAAGGGCTAGGGTTGAGAGCTTCCCCTGCAAATTTTTGGGGCTGCCGCTGTCTCTTCGGACCTTGCGTAAAGTGGACCTGCAACCGCTGCTGGACAAGCTCCGCACACGCCTGGCGCGCTGGAAGGCCAGGCTGCTCACCCTTGCTGGTAGACTGGTTCTCCTCAACTCCGTCCTGACTGCTTTCACCATATACTGGTCGGCCGTCTATGCGCTCCCGCCATGGGTTCGTAAGGAGCTGGATCGGCTACGGCGTGCATGGTTATGGCGTGGGGAGGAGGTGTGCCATGGCGGGCACTGCAAAGTTGTGTGGAGCCGCGTTTGCCGCCCGCGCGATCTTGGCGGGCTCGGTATCGTCGACCTGGAGCGGTTTGGCATGGCGCTCCGCCTCCGCTGGCTCTGGGCGGAAAGGACCTCCGTCGTCCCCTGGCAGGGTTTACCGGTCCCAGTGACACTTGCGGAACGACATATGTTTGCGGCGACATGTGCGGTCACCGTTGGGGATGGCAACCGAGTCAGTTTCTGGTACGATAGATGGCTGCCCGAGGGCGCGCCGCTCGTGATCGCCCCTGATCTATTCAAGGTCTCAAGACGCAAGGTGCGCTCCGCGCATCAGGCACTGTTAGGGAGCAGATGGATTCAAGACCTCCGTGGCCGGGTGACCACCGACCTGTTGCCTTCCTTTGTAAGGCTATGGGCGTGTGTCAATTCCCGGCAGCCGCTCTCCCTTGGCACCATGGATTCCTTCCGCTGGAGGCTAACAGAAAATGGCGTCTACACGATGGCCTCCGCATATAGGCTTTTCTTCATCGGATCCACTATTTTCCCACTGTGTCAGGAGATCTAGAAAGCTTGGGCTCCGCCCAAACTCCGTACCTTTGCATGGCTGCTCGCCCAACGGAGGATCCTCACAGCCGACCGCCTACTTGCCCGGCATTGGCCCAATTCCTATTTTTGCCCGCTATGTTTGCGGAACCTCGAGACATCGGTGCATCTCATGAAGGAATGCCCGTGGGCGCGTCGGCTATAGGAAATGGTGGCGCACCGTTTCGCAGTCCCGGAACTAAATCCGGCTGCATGGACGCTGGATGTGCCATGGATCGACTGGATAAGCAGCATGAGTCGCGCGCCTTCCACTTGGAAGCTGGCGAAGTCGGTTGCCCTCCTAGTATTTTGGTGGATTTGGAAGGAGCGTAACATGCGCATTTTTGGCGGCGGCACGGAGCGCTCGCCGCGGCAAGTCTTGCATCTCCTGCTATCGGAGGCAAGCGACTGGGCGCTGGCAGGAGGCCGACATCTAACTCTGCGAGAGTAGCCCCTTTATTTCCTCTTTTTGCTTTCTCTCAATTTCTTTTTCCGCAAGCTAATGCGTTAGCCTGCACCCTGTACTCGGTGTTCCTTCGCCCCCCCTTCTAATCAATGAAATACGCAGCTCTCCTGCGTTTATTTCAAAAAATATTTCGAACCGGGGCTTCTCCTTTTCAGCACACAATTTTGTCGTTTTGATTTCTATTTTAATTAGTACGGTACGTGTTCAATAAATAGCACTAACTGTATATTTGACACATCAAACGTTAGTTGGTCTAGTGGTTTTCTATGCGAGGCGAAGGGCAGCAGGTCATTGGTTCAAATCCCATCCCATTCTTCATTACTTTCTCATTTTATTTGAGGATTTTCTGCATAAATTAATAGAATGTAAGGGTCCTTTCTGACAACAAACCGACCTCAGCCACTGACAGTGGCCCTGCCACGTTGGCGCGCGTATGGATACGACTGGGTATAATGAGAAGCACCGTATATGAACGAGGCGACAAGTTAGATGACCAGAAATACGTATTTTACAAGTTTGTGCACCAAACTGACCGTCGCATGCAAGTTCTATGACTTCTGGTGTATTTACCTCTATATTTATCAATACGGTAGGTGCATGATAAAGTGGCATAGAGTACTAGCTAATAACGTTTCCAAGAGAATCTCCGCGGCTTTAGAAATCAAATCAAATGTAGTATTTTCTACTTAAAACCAAAATAAATCAAGTGTATTTATTGCTTCATTTAGCAAGAACATTTCCCATTGGCAAACGACAGAACAGCTTAGCAGTGCCTCAATTCCACACCTCGTGACCTGGTACTGCTATATATGTATGCGCCCATGTGTGCCGTGCACCATTGCACACAAACGCCAAGGTCGAGCAATGTCGTCGCCGTCGTACTCGTCGTACCTCGGGAGGCCGGCCTACTGCGCCATGGCCCTCGTCCTCCTCCTCACCCTGCTCTGCATCACCTTCCCCGCCTACCTGCGCAACCCGGTCAGCGTCGCCAGCTGCTTCACGGGAGCCGACGTCCGTGCCGCCGCCGCCCAACCAGCGGCGTCAGCGTCGGCGGCGTTGGTGGCGGACGACGGGGGCCGCCGCCCGGACCAGCTCAGCATCCTGGTCGGCGTGCACACGATGCCCAAGAAGCACTCCCGGCGGCACCTGATCCGGATGGCGTACGCGGTGCAGCAGACGGCGGCCCTCCGCGGCGCCGCGCGCGTGGACGTCCGGTTCGCGCTCTGCGCGCGGCCGATGCCGGCCGAGCACGGCGCGTTCGTGGCGCTGGAGCGCCGCGCCTACGGCGACGTGCTGCTCTTCAACTGCACCGAGAACGCCGAGGACGGCAAGACGTACACCTACTTCGCGGACCTGCCGGCCATGCTCGGCGCCGCCGGGGGCGAGGGACGCCCGCGGCCGTACGACTACGTGATGAAGGTGGACGACGACACGTACCTCCGGCTGGACGCGCTGGTGAAGACGCTGCGGCGGGCGCCGCGGGAGGACATGTACTACGGCGTGGGCCTGCCGTTCATGGACCGAAAGTCGCCGCCGTTCATGCTTGGCATGGGGGACGCGCTCTCCTGGGACCTCGTCCAGTGGATCGCCACCTCCGACATGGTCAGGAGGAAGGCCAAAGGTACGTACGCCCTCCCTCTGCTTGTGAACCACGAACTCCAGTAGAACATCTTTCATCACATGTCCTCGAAACTAATGGCGTGTGCATCAGGCGTGGAGGATGTGACCACGGGGAACTGGCTGAACGAGGGGGGCAAGGCCAAGAACAGGGTGAACATCTTCCCCAGGATGTACGACTACAAGAGCGCCGAGGCCAAGGATTTCCTGGAGGACACCATCGGCGTGCACCAGCTCAAGGAGGACATCAGGTGGGCGCACACGCTGGCGCACTTCAACGCCACCTACGGCGACCTCCGGCCTTCCAGAGAGGGGAGCTCATAGATTCATACCGTATGTGGAAGACCAGTAAATTTGCAGTCAAACTGCCTCACTGAAGGGCAGCCTGCCTAGAAATCCAGCAGTTTCACATGCATATCATACATTTGGCATTAATTAAACACTGAATTCCAGAGTTTCCAAACAGGGCCTGAATGTTGCATTATTTTCCACTTATAAGAGCATCATTTCTCTGCACTGATAAGAGCTCACTAGAAAGAACTAAAATACAATGAACAGCCATGCTAGATGTACAGAATGAAACCAGAGGCTTTCCTGGAGACAGGAAGGCGAAATATCTACTCGCCATTTCGATCCAAGAAAGGAACTCATCATCCCTGGGACGCCCTTCGCGGCTGCTTGGATCTTTACTAGAGGGAATGCTTTCCCATGCTCACCGACAGCTAGTCGACTTTATGAACGGCATGGCTATACATGTAATAGACCATCCTCACCATTTCAGTTTCTCTACTCAGCTCCAGACATGAATTCCCTGTTCAAGTGATCATCTGACAAGGGGTATGCGCCAACAAATGGTTGACATGTCTATCTCCACTGGCGAATAATCAGCTGTAATTATCGTCTGGCGGATGCAGCAAGGTGAACACAACAGATATCTTGTGCAAAGCAAAGAAGCGCTAGAGACCTTTTAACTAGGGGCAGGACTCTTTCTAGACCTTCTTGACTCCCTGGACTTGTGTTCAGGACCTGCCTCTTCCGGCATTTTGGCCTGGCTAGATTCACTTGCTCGAGACCTGGACTTGGATATCCGTCGGCTTCTTCTAGTTCCTGTGTGCTTTTCTGCATCTGCATCCGTTGGCTTCGACTTTGCTCTAACCGGCCTTGCACTAGAAGACCCACGGGATTTCCGTTTTGAACCCACACCCTGCTTAGCCACCTGTTTTAATCCTTGTTGGGTTTGACACTGGTCATTATTTTCTTGCACCTCTGAACAAACAATTGATGTTGAAGTTCCCTGCACAACGAAATATGTATATGTTATCGGCGAGCTTCAAGAACAAGAAAAACAACATGCAGAGAATAAAGGCTCGAAAACATTCAAATCATTAAGGAGGAAAGATTTTTTTTAATTTCATCACCAATCAATGATCGGCTGAGAATTTCGGTGTGAGAACATGTGAGAATCAGTCCACAAAATACAACACCAAACATAGAAGGCAAACATCATGAAACATCAGTAGCGCAGTGCTTGACATTTAATCATAGCATATCAGAAGAGGAAAAAACACAGTACAAGACATCTTGAAACATCAGTAGCGCAGTGCTTGACATTTAATAATAGCATAGCAGAAGAGGAAAAATCACAGTATAGTGCAACACCAGATTCATGTGCCAAGCATTACCTTGTTTGTAGTCGAACATGGTTCTGTGCCCTGAACTTGCTCATCTTCAGAATCATCCATTTCCTCACATTCAAACTCAACATGCTGGCTCTCTTCCTCGGAATCACTTAATTCTTCTTGTTCCATTACAATGCCTTGCATTGTTTCCTCACCAGGCCCTTCAGTGTCATGATGAGGACTAGCATTTCCAGGCTGTGAATTCGAAATACTAGCTCTGTCCTTCACAGGCCTTTCTGGCTGAATTCTGGATTTACTAGGAGTACTTCTCAAATCCTTTGCAATCCTAAAATCCACTGAGGAACATAAATGAATGTCCAAATCAATGTTGTTATCCCTCTCACAAGGGCTTGTGGATTCTTGCATATCAACACCGTTCTCTCTTTCGCTTGTCGACGCTTCCCTAACTGTTGACTGGTCATCCACTGGAGGTTCCCTAATACGACCGTCAGATTGATTAGAAAGTGGATGACAGTCCTCTTCCGGTACTTCCACATGCATCTCAGCTTCAGATCTTTGCAGCAGAGGATGGAAGTCGATGGTATTAGCATTGACAGGAGCTCTTTCCATGCAATCTGTAGTCTGCTTATTACTTTTCTCAACTTGAACTTTCTCAAAAGGGAAAAGATTATAATTTCTTGAATGACTAGTAAGATTTTGAACCAAATGGCTATGTGACGAAAGCACTTCTCGAGGATGCTGAAAAAGCAAAGGATGCATTTGAAAATCTTGCTCAGCGCCATCTTCCATCGAACGTGCATCATGCCCATGTTGTTGTGATCTGTCAGTAGTACTATGATGAGGGAAAAGATTTAGCTGTGTATAAACACATTCTGTAAAGGTTGGAGGTGGCACAGGAAACAGATCCTGCGCGGCATTCTGATGAAATTCCATCTGAGATATCACACGGACAGAAGGAGGAAGGTTTACAGGAGGCAAATCTGGGGCCAACTTGACGACATGGCTACCTTTCTCTTTAGACAATTGTGAAGCTTGCGGTTCATCCAAAGTCACACCAAACACCCTTTTAGTTGAAGGACCATCAGAAGCACAAGAGCTAAAAGGTATATATGCAGCGCCGACACCATGGCGCATACCATTTCTATTATGCTGCTCAAAGCGGCCATATGCAGAACCACATTCATCATTGAGGCTGGTGCCCGTTTGCATCATATTCATGCTCCTATTCTCTGTGTCCGCTAAAAATGCTTCATTGACATACGGATCATCACCATCACCATCATCATCATCATCATCATCATTTTCAACATCCTCAAAAGCATCATTATCAGTCTGTCACGAAAGCAATATACATCATGCTCAATAACACTACTCTAAATGGAAATAGGTATTCAAGGTTCTCTTGTGAGTTCGGTAACACACTAACCTCCTGCTCACGACCTACTTGTGAATCAGCCATGGAAGCTTTTAATTGCCTCCTCTTCGCTTCATATGTTCTTCTCTTTGCTTTCAAAGCCTCACTTTTACTGTAAGATCGCTGGACTCCATTGGCAACTCTCCACTGACGCTGGAGCAGCGAAGGATCTCTGTATGGCACAACAAACTTCCAAACAGATGTCCAATCATATTTGAATATCTTGAGCCCCTGCATCAATGTAGGAATAAGGGGAAAAGTAAGCAAATACCAATTCAACAGGGAACAGAAGATAGTCTGCAGAGACAGATATAACCACCTCTTCGATACGCTGCACTTCCTCACTACTCAATGGAGAATTCTTCATACGGCGCACATCCTGCATTATTTCAACCAAGAATATGCTTAGTACTTTGGTAGTATGTTGATTTTTTTCAAAGACAGCAGTCAAGTAAATTAACATCTACATCCTATTGGGGATCACCATAACAGCCAGTAGAGCACGAGGATCGGGTCATCCCAGTTTCAAACCAGTATTGGTTTTTGCTACACGGGAACATATTGACCTACTATTTTATAACACACAGGAGTGCTCTTTGAAACTTCCAGTAACAAGAGGTAAGATCATAGAGCCCCACCAAAGCACTATAAATTTCGTCATTGTTCTATACCCTTTAAAAATAGAGCTGGTACTCCCTCCGTCCGAAAATACTTGTTGCATAAATGGATGAAAATGGATGTATCTAGAATTAAAATACATCTAGATACATTCATTTCAAGGACAAGTATTTGCGGACGGAGGGAGTAGAAGTCATTTCTCAGCTTGCTTCTAATTATAATAACCAAATGTGATATGGTCCATATTACAGAAGTTGGCTTTTACAGTTTCCCAGGGATTTTTTTTAGTCCTACTTTACGTTGACACATAAGAAAATCTGAAAAGATATGTTGCAAAAACATAAAAGATTAAAATAATGGTGATTCAAACACTGCTAATACTTCTTCAGGAGCTTCAGTACTTAGAATATCATTATAGAAAAGAAGTCTCTGCCGAGGAAACACATATCAGTTTCAAAACTAGATGATGGGATGAACCGGCACCACATACTTATTTATGCTAATCAGTTAAGACCTTTAGAAAAATATTCTTGAACCTCAAAGGCTTATAAGAATTCATTAAGCATATTATGTACCAGTAAATGGAAAGATGTATACCCCCCGCAAAAAAATTTGGAAAGATGTATACTTACTTACCTTGACTGGATTGTCAGTAGCTTTCGCTGAGCTGCGGTTCTTCTGTCTCACAAATATCTACACTACAAAAAGTTATGTTACTGAAACAGCATAAAGCATACAAAGAGAAACCGGGATTTTGAGCAGCTGAAAACTTGGTAAAGAGACTAAACTAAGCACTGGGCAAAATAAGAATTTGCCCATAAGATCTGGAGTTGTGGTTCTTAGCATTAGAGGATCAAGATTGATCTAAGCTTGCTCGTATAACGGCAACAAAAGCAGAACAATTTTCAGGCAGTAGCCTTTGTTGAAATTAAGCATATAAGAGTCACCAAATCTTTATTCAAAACATGCAACCTGGTGTATTAGTTATTAGGAGTAGATATCAAATTAGGCCGGCCGTAGTGCCGGCACCTAGCAGTTTGGAAACTCTCACTGCCATGTCAATACAATCAAAACAACACTTGTTTCTAATATCGACTCTTTAATGAATTCCATTTCTTCATACTATCTGATACTCAGACAAAGTCTGTCATAACACCAAGGGGCACCAAACAAGTGATGAGAATACTAAATTGGTATGTCTAGCAAATAATAGAAAACTGCGAGGTACTCAATGAAACAAATAAATGACACCACAATAGTACCTGATGCGTTGATTTGCAAGGAAGAAAACGCTTTTGTATCGCTTCCCAGTCATTATTATATTCCAGAAGTCCTAGAGCTAATAACCTGCAGGCAGAACATAAAGTAAGAATGTTACATAACCAAGAAAACAAATGATAGCACAGTTGTATTTGGATGATATATAATCATGCAATTGAAAAGGGTAATATATGATGCCACACTAAGCAAGTGGACAAAAAATATCAACCTTAATATGATTAACCACCCAAAAGGAGACCTTACAAAAATTTCAATATGAAGATGAAAGGACAGCTTCGTAAAGCCAGATACAAATTGCATAAAACAGTGACAGTAATACAGGAAAGAAAACATTACAACCTCAATGGAGACTACAATAAAATTTCGACATTCAGCATTCCTTAAATCTTACATTTTGAAGATTGAAATTCATGCATCATGGATAGATTAGAATTAACAGAAAAGAAAACCATAATGCATGCCTAATAAACGTTAGTGAAAATGTAAATCATACCCGTCCTCTGCATCAGTGAAAAGCAGTCTACTGACCATAGCTGCGGGAGGTGGCTTATGAGGAAACAGCGAAAAATTGAATAGTGGATAAAATCTCTGCGCCAATCTTGCAATATCAAATGGAACAAGAGCAACCGACTCCTTTTTAGTACTCTCAAAAAGGGTAGCAGCTAATGATTTCTTGGGCTGTGACTGGCCAGGTGAAGCTGGCGTTGATGTGGACACATTATTTGGTCTGTCTTGAGAAATATTGTTAGCATCTCTGCCAGTGCTAAGTACAGGTGATGGAAAAAGAGGTTCTTTCCTAAAGCGGATCCTCTCTGGAGTGCCATCCACATGGCTTTTTCTATACTTCACAACAGCTGTCAATTGAGTAAAAAATAAGGTGTTTAAGTCATGGCAAACAAGATGAAAAAGAGTATTTGCAAAAAAATGGTACTTGCGTACTCACCGCCTGCAACATCACTTAAATAGCTGAGGGCCAAATGAAGTGGCGATACATCAAGGATGGACATAACAGGATTCTTAATTAATGGAATCCATTGGCATTGCGAGCTCTCAGAAGAAGCATGACTAATTGCTGACCGAAGATGCTGCCCTTCGAAATAGAATTGTTGACGAATAGTGTTTTTCCTAGCCAATGCTTGATCACGGTAGCCAACCAACTCAACTATCATTTTTTTAACATCAGCAGCCACACGCTGTTTAGATGGGTCGAGCACGCATAGAGAGAAGGTTTGGATCATGAGCTGAACATGTTCATATATCAAAATATGCAATTGGCCAAGTTGCTCATCAGTAAACCCCTTCACTACAGCAGCACCAGTTGCTGATGATGATGAGGAAGGGATATTGATGTTCTGGGATGGATACTGCCCAGGAACCTGGGGTATAGTTGAGATATTTGGCACAATCGGTCGCAAATTAGGTTTAGTTGATTCCTGTTGATGATTGATTGCCCTAGACAACTCGGGTCTCTTCTTCCTAGTCTGAGGCCTATGACCATCTTTCTTATTCCTACCATTTATGCTCTTATCATTCTCGACATTTTCACCGCCATCACTTTCCAGGGCCTCCTCAATTTCGAGCTCAAAGTCCGCATCATTCTCATCTTCATCCTGGGCTTCATCCCCCTGGCAAGCCTGTGTGCCATCGCCTCCACCAGACAGGACAGCTGAAAGAAACTTGCGGTATTCCTCTTCCTCGTCAACATTCTGCAGGTCACCATCATCGTCAGATTCCTGGAGAAAGGTCTCTAACTCGTCGAGTGCGTAATTTGCCAGAGAGTATCTTGCCCGTGTCCGCCTGCAGATTGCATCTTCCTCGGTGCCTTCATGCAACAGGGGATGAGTATTCTGTACTGGTGGAGAGATGGAAGCTACAGTTCGTAAGGGTTCCTTTCCCAATCCATTAACATGGCCTTCTCTATTCTCACAATGCAAGTGGGTAGAACTGCTCTCTGGAACATTTACTTTGGAGGCACCTTTTGCTGACACACTTTCTTTGGGAAGCACACAATCACCTGCATTTCCATTACCAGAACTATTGCAAAGAAGCACCTCAGTGCTTGGTTGATTTTCAAATCTAGTTCCCTCGCATTCTGCCTCTGAGGTGAGGCTTGACGAGGTCTCGGATGGTGATCCTTCCCTATATAAAGGGTTGAAATCCATGTCATCGTCCTCCACATCATCATCGACGTCCATACTAAATGAAGCAAGGGTAGCTTAGGCAAGCAGTAGAACTGCCTACACCCTGTCATTCATTAGGTGAAGAGAAATAAGTTAACGGCCTTAAGAATGTTGCTTGCTAGAAACAATAAGAGGCACAGCAATGAAACTTAAGACTAATACATATAGCAAATGCCTTAAATAACACGTAGGTAAAGCCGTAAAGGATCGTGGCGAAGTAATTTTAGCTTTTTATAGGAGATGACTTATAGGTGCAAGACGGCCATTTAAGTTTGGGGAATGATATTAAGTCACAAAAGCTCATTTAGTAATTAACTCGACGGTCGCAAATGTAAATTCTTTTATGATTACATCTTTAGTTACAGTACATAAATACCAACAAAAGCATGCGACTATCTAGGATTAAGATGATGAACGAAACTTTCTTCACGCATTTCACTCGGCTTTTTTAGAATAAATCATATCTTCCAAGTCTTTGGAGAATCAAGCCGCAATTGATGATGACTAGAATGTATACAGCCACAAAGTAGGCATGCCTAGAGTGTAATACTTAGGAAGAGCCACATATAACCTAAAAACAACGCAACCTGGCCTTAATAACGGTGAAGCACGAACAAAAGCGACTAGTTACCAAGCATATTCGAACCCTAGTAGCATAACAGCGCCCGGATTTACAGAAATTCCTGTGAAGGGGAACCAAAATTGCAGGTTTCCTGGTGGGAGAAACTTCCAAATTCGCAATCGACCGAACGCGCCGTCGACAAATTGGTGAAGAAGATCGGGGCAGGGAGGTGAAATTAGGGCTTACAGTTTAGACCCGGTCAGGCGACCCCCTCCGCCCAGGGGGGGCGAGCGAGAGGCGCGTTGAACTGGGCACGGGGGGAGCGGACCTCGGATCCCGGGAGGGAGAGCTCGTCGCCGGCGGCGGCCTCGCGGGGAAGGAGGCGCGGCTTCGGCGGCGGAGGCGGACGACGGCGACGGGGAAAGAAGGTGCGGCCGTACGTGGTCGGTTACCCCCGGCGGAACGAAACGATCGAAATCGGGTGGCGGACCGACTCGCGACCCGTTAAGTGGACTCATGGGCCTAGCGAGGCCCACGCAGTGAGGTCAAACAAGTCCACCGCCCATGCGGCCCATTTAACGCTGTGACACTCGTTAAACCCTAGCCCGCTCCGACCCACCGTGCCGAGGCAGATCGAGCCGTCCATCCCGCGGGGCGAGGCGATCCGCGCCGTCCAGATACCGGCCGCTGCCTACATATAAGCCGCCCCCGCCTGCGGCCGCCGTCGCGTCGCCCTCTCCCACCCGAAGCCCCCCACCCAACCCCCGAGCCCCTCGTCTCCGGCGGCGGAAGGAAGCGGCAGTCATGGTGAAGGGACGCACTGGACAGCGCGTCAGGCTCTACGTCCGGGGCACCATCCTCGGCTTCAAGAGGTGAGCGGCCCCTTCTTGGCCCTGCCTCTCGGGCGCTGGATCTGGCCATTCATTTCTTGGTGCGGATTGAGCTGCGCGCTAATGGCTATGTGGGGGTTGATCTGCAGGTCGAAGTCGAACCAGTACGAGAGCACGTCGCTGGTGCAGGTCGAGGGGGTGAACACCAAGGAGGACGTGGCGTGGTACGCCGGGAAGCGCCTGGCGTACGTGTACAAGGCCAAGACCAAGAGCAACGGCACCCACTACCGCTGCCTCTGGGGCAAGATCACCCGCCCGCACGGCAACTCCGGCGTCGTCCGCGCCCAGTTCAAGTCCAACCTCCCCGCCGAGTCCATGGTCAGTGCCCGCCCGCCCTTAGCTTTCGATGAGCTGCTTGCCTGCTTGATGGTGCCTTTTGCTGAGGCTGTTTGTTGCTTTTGTTTTGTGTGCAGGGGCGCAAGGTCAGGGTATTCATGTACCCGAGCAGCATCTAAGGTTAGCATCTGCTGCACTATCGTTGATGTTTGTTTAAGGCTGTGGCTTTCCTCTGCATGATTTACTCTAGCATGTGTCTTACATTTTGTCCTAGGCCTTGTGAATGACTAGGATGGATTTTATAGAATTCCAAGTGAGGTCGAAATATATAGTATGTCTGAAGTATATGAACTTGTGCAATGTGTCCATTGAGATACTAATGGTTTGGCTTGGGTCAATATGGTTGATGTAGGATTCTGTGTTCTTTGATTTGTTTTATCCCTGAATGATGCCTCCTAAGCAATACTGAGTTATTAATATGTACTGTGTATCCAGTTTGATCCGGGAACGTTGTCAATTATTATTAGCTTTGTTGCTAGCTTTAGTGTTGTGTCTGGAATGTTGTTTAGATGCCAAGGCTTGTGCCGTTTGTCAATCTAAAAGGCTCACAGTATGAAAAGTGGGGAATGCACTTACATCAAACGTTTTTATTGTTAAAAACTGATTTCACTTGAGTGTTATTAGTTTGTACCTCAAACTGCTGATTGTTTTCCTATTGCAAATTATTGGTAAGCAGGTATTAGATTTGATGTTATGGTAGCTGTATAATTACAATTGAAAGTCACCTAATTAATGTTTTGGCATCAGAAGTTTGAGGGCTATTATTTCATTGGAATGCCACTCCTTATTTTCAGCAGCATAAAGTCTGCCTTATTTTCTGCTGTCTTCTGTTGCCTCAAATTATGAACATGATTTGCTTTTTGTTTTTCTAGCCATGTTTGACACATCCATTGTGTTGGCTATGCTAACGTTGCTTCTCTTTTTGTTTTGTTCAATGCAGGTTTTTTCGATCTAGGGACAGTAATGCTTGTTTCTTGTGATTGTCATGAGCTTTTTATGGTGAATCTATGCTATGTTGGCAACCGAAACTGATCATGTATTCTGAGAACCTGTGGAAGTTTTGGCTAGACTTGTTTGTCAAATGTGCGGACCATTTTAGTATATTTCTATATCAGCACTAAAGCGTAATTTGTCATGAGTTTGTGACTGTTTTCCAATGTTTTAGTGTTATATCAGATGTTCTCTGCTGTTTGATCTTATGATAACTCAAGATATATTCCTGATGCCAGCATGAATGATGGTCTATTTATTTATGTTCTTGTGGCCTGCTAGTTTGGCGAACCATATGTGAGCTGCATAACAATTTGCCTTCTTCTGGTATATTGGATTGGCAACAATCCTTGGATACACTCGCAAACATCTCTTGCATCTGGCATAATAAACCAACGGTTAAAGTTTTATTTTAGCACAATGATCATTGATTTGGACCCTTGTATAAATTGGCAAAAAAACTGATAGCCACCAGAACGGTCAACAACTGGCCACTAGACCATAAGGCAGACAAAGATTCATCAAAGTCATGTGTCCTTTAGGTTTGAGTGGCAACGTAGTCTCTCCCTTGGTACTATGAGGTCTGCAAGGAGATTGAGCGCGGTTACAGGAGTTGGTCGCGATTTTATTTGACCAATGCCTCTCATTCAAATATTTTTGGCAAGCCCAGTGTGTTCACAAATAATATTGCAAGATATTTTTCATGTGCCATGACCTAGTGGAATATCTGAACAAAAATTATTGAGCTCTTTTCGGTAAAAGTACTATAGCGGGAGATGTTATGTTGACTGTAAAAATAACTATGCAACATACATATTCTGTTTCTGCTTCACAGTGTGAACAATTGCCATTGTTGTGTGTCTGTTATTAGACTATCTATGTGGTTCACTAGTATTCTTCTTCACGAACTCATGACTACTCTTGAGTGATTAAATCTTTGAGGATTCAACATACTATTTGATCATACAATATGCTATTTCCTTATGTGAAGTTTTGAACATACAATGGGCTATTAAGTTTAAAAAATACATATGATGGGCTATTTGAAAATCCCAACGTTTAGAGGATTGATGTCTAATAGGATTTTGCTTTTGCATGTTAGCTCAAGTTTATCTCAATTCCGTATGTAAATATTTGTATTGCCTAATTCCACCAGTGTTTGCCTATATCACTATATGAGCACAATGCACTAGTCTTTTTGTACAAGATAAATAATGTTTATATAATTAGTTTGATTATGAGTAAGGACTTCTCTGCCAGTTCCAGCATATAAGCATACTTAGGTTGTGTGTTTGGGATGAATTTGATTCATCCCTAATTTTTCTTCCATGTGGTATGTGCAACACAGTCAAATGGTATTGTTGATGCATATTCTTGGTTAGATCATCAGTAAAAAAAGTAAGTATGAATGCATGACGCTTGCGCGACATGTGCTAACCTAATCTTATTTGTTACTCCCTTCGTTCCAAAATATATGACTCAACTTTGTAGTAATATATTACAAAGTTGAGTCATCTATTTTGGAACGGAGGGAGTAGGTCTGATCTCTCCCAGCAGAGTAAAATGCACAGAACCACCACTTTTTAGCGTCATACCTCTCGGAAAACCACCACTTTGCAAAATGTGACACTTCGTACCGAATCGAAAATTTGACAGTGGCAAAAAACATTGATTCAAAATGCAAGTATTTTGATGACGTCAGTAATCGGCGGGCCCATTTGTCGGGCTGAGTTGGAAGAAAAAAATGCCACGCAGACAAGTTGACTTGGTCTTCTTCTTCTTTCTCATCCCCTCTCTCTTTGGCATTTTATCAAACACTTTGTGTGCACTCAAGCAGGCGGTTGGGCAACACACCAGGGGTAGAGCAAGCATGTGTTATGTGTAGTCATGATAATGTTTATTTTGTATAGAAAGAACTCTTATTTGGTTAGAGCAATCCTCTAGTCAATTGATTTTTTTTTCATTAGGCAGAAAACAAAATTTTGTTAACTGTAGCAAGATTAATTCACGGTGCAAGCAAATCCATGGGTAAATGGAAGCAAGTTTATTTCCGCAACACTACATTGGGATGAAACGTCTTTGATGTGCAAGCAAAGTCACATGACACTTATGGAAGCAATTTTAGGTAATAATGAAATCAAGATCTGCTTCCTAAGGAAGCAAATAGCCTCATGTGATTTTGGGAAGGATTACAGCCCTGATTTGCGGAAGAAATAAACTAGGAAAGCATTCAAATTCATCCTACCGATCTCGTCCCTATTCTCCTTGATTTGGAGAGAGCGAGGAAGCATTGTTTAAGGAGTAAGAAACACACACACACACACACACACACACACACACAGAGAGAGAGAGAGAGAGAGAGATGCGTGAGTTACGGAAGCAGTTAAGAAGCAACAACAAATTAGGACGAGGTTCATCTAGCCTATCATGTGGCTTAATTATGTCATGCTTCCCATCCGATGGCCTCTGGCTAGTCTGATAGATGCAAACTATCTTTACTTTAGTCCTTCGAACTTAGTCTCAGTGACAGAGCCAGGGCTGGGCAGGCTGGGGCCATGCCCCCCCCCCCCTTCCATTTTTTTCTTCTGAAAACACCCCTACATAATTTATCCATCTATCTATTGCCCCTATAAAAGCACGAAGTTTGGAGATCCAAATCCATTCTATCCATCCATATGGCAGATCCTACGGCCTAAAGCCCTCAGATATTTGGCGCTAATTGCAATTAGTGTTGTACCTCCTGACCCATGTCTTACGCTCTCCACCTCCAACGCCCCCCAGAAAATAAAGCCGCCCACGCCCATGCCCCACTCATCGCTCTTGTGTCCCACTCCCACGCATGTTCTTTTCATGCTCTGTTGCTAGAGTGGTTTGGCTTGTTGGATCAGTTTTTGGGATTGACTGTTGCCCCAATAGTATTTGGCAGTTCCATTCTTGGTGTTGTGCTTATTTACCATCTGGTGAGAGGTTCTACATGGTTGGGTTGGTTGTTATATGCTGGGCTATTTGGTTGGTTTTCATAACAAAGCAACCTTCAAAAGGAAGATGATCAAGTCTCCTTTTAAAATTGTTTTCGTCTTCTGTTCTCTCTTGGTGTATTGGGTAGGTCTTTAGAAGGGAGATAGCCCGAAGGAGCTGAAGTAGGGAGCGGAGCTGCTCAAGATCAATGCCGCCAACATACTGAGGCTTTGCCAAGGAGCATTTCAAGGAACTTCTGGATGAAGATGGTGCACTAGGATACGTCATTCTAGATTCAGGGATCATTGCCAGGGCTGTTGTTTTTTGCTGATGGTGTTTCGTTGTTCGCTGTATGAACTATCTTGGGGTATATTATCTTTCTGGATGTTGTTAGGTCTAGATTAGTGCCTTCAGGTTATTGCCCGATAGTGAAGGAGTTGATTGTGGGCGTGCGCAGCGGGTTTCTTGATGATGCCTCGAACTCGCACTCTCCCTTCTCTCCTCCTGTTTCTCTTGTTATGTCATGATTGTTGTATTATCTCCTTGTGTTTCTCTTGCGATGTCGAACTCGCACTCTCTTTTTTCTCCTCGTGTTTCTCTTGTTGTGTCCAGACTGTTGTATTTAGTATCTTTCTGGATGGTGTCAGGTCGAAAAAATTGTGCACATAATAACAGGGGGATTCAGTTCTTGACTTGTAAGGATTTAGTTTATGTACTACTGCTCCTAGAAGGTGCATTTCAAGGACGGGAAGGTGAGTGTTAATAACTTCAAAGGATGATCACATTTTCCTGTGAGTGAATTTTTTTGTTTCCATCAGATAGGCTTGATTTCTATGAAAATACATGGTTAATGCTTGCAGTTTATGCATGCAAGGTGTTGTTTTGTCTTTGCATTTGATGGGCAAAGTTGTTGTATTTATTAGCATGGTAACCTTGAGATCTTGAGGCAAAAGACAAGTGTCGTGTTACCCCAATGCAGTTTCCAAATGGTTTATTACTTCAAGCATCACATTACTTTTTATAAATATCTCTCGAAGATAGTCGGTTCACTCATGATTGATGACAAATATATTCGCTGATTTTTTACTTTGAGCTACATTTCTTTTGTATTATTACAACAATGTTCATTATAAGTATATATTTTTATTTTATTAACATATTATTTTCTAAAACGTATGATGATTTTATTCGCACGGTACTCGTGCGTTGCACGTGCATTTTTACTAGTTAGCTCAAAGTGGTCTAAATTTATGTGTTTGGCCTCCTCCAACCTCT